GTGGGTCCCTTCCACGCCCGACGGGGACACTTCGGTCTTTGGAATTTCAAGGGAGGAAGTTGGGTCTGTGACCCCCGCTCAGATTATGAGGGGCTAGGCTGGGCCAGAGGACCTGGGGCGGCGTCTCTCGGAGCCAGCAGTGCGAGTCCCGTGCTGCAGAGCGGCCCCGGGTGGGGAGTGTGCGCGCGGCAGGATCCCGGGGCTCCAGGGTGTCGGGCAGGCTTCTTTTTGTTTGTTTTTATCCGATGGAGTCGTTCAGTCTGTCATTCACTGACCTCCTGAGGAGTCCCGTGCCCAGTGCTGGGACTCTGGTGATCTGGATCCGGAGGTGGGGGCTCTGGACTCGAACAAGCCCATTCCCCCTGATGTGGAGCCTTGAAGGCCGAGCACAGTCTGAGTGAGGAGGGGGATGAGTAGCTCCTCCCACTGGAAAGGGCGGGACAGGAGGGCGGGGGCCTGGGCTGAGCCCTGAGTGGGGAGTGAGCTGGGGAAGGCGTGGCTGGGATGGCAGCTGGGGGAGGTCTCTGTCTGCCCACCCAGGAGGAGGCCTAAGCACCACTGACACCTGGGCTGGGTAGTGGCAGGGGGGCAGGGGAGGCAGGGCGGAGGGGGGTGCAGATGCGCTGGAGGAAGCCCGTGGGGCAGATGAGGGAATGGGCAGAGCAGGGGGGCAGGATGAGGGGTCAGGACAACCTGCGCCCCAGGCTGGGCCCCCCGCTGGCCGGCCAGGGAGCGGAGTGCTGGGGGGTGGGGGGAACCGGGTGCTGGGGAGGAAAGGCAGGAGGACAAGATGCCGCCAGGAGAAAGAGGGCTCAGCCGCCCCCACCGTGACCCATCCCCAGGCCAGGGAGGTCCCAGGCGTGAAGGTCTTCCGCTCCTCGGCCACCATGTACTTCGCCAACGCTGAGCTCTACAGCGACACGCTGAAGCAGAAGGTGAGGCCCGGGGCCCCCGGGGTCCATGCCGGAGGGCCCCTTGCCTCCCCAAACACTCCAGCCCCTGCCCTGGCATCTGTCTCTAGTGCGGAGTGGACGTGGACCGCCTCATCTCCAAGAAGAAGAAGCTGCTCAAGAAGCAGGAGCTGCAGCTGAAGCGGCTGCAGAAGCAGCAACTCCAGACACAGGCAGGGGTCCCCCGGGCCAGCGACTCCTGCGCCCAGCCTCTTTCCCAGCCCCCTGGGCTCCTGGCTCCCCTCATCCTCGCTCCCTGCTCCTCGCTCCCTGCTGGTGGCGTTTTGCTCTTCTCCCACCTCCGAGCCCCGGGGACAGCGTGAACCATCGCAGTCCTCTTCCATTCACGGCTGCTCCCGGAGCTGGTCAGAATGCCACGGCCTCTGGCCTGGCTCAGGTCCCGGGCTCCGGCTCCTGCCCCGCCGACTGCCCAGAGCCAGAGGTCAAGGCCAGGCCGGCCAGGCACAGCAGCTGCAGTGTGGCAGCTGGGACAACTCTTTCCCGTGCCCCGCTTCCCTCGCCTAGGCTGCTGCCTCCAGGGGCACTTCCATTTCCATCGATGTCAATGCTAGCGACGGAGACGTCAAGAGCAACAACGTGGAGAGCTCCAAGGCCAAGGTGAGGCTGGAGGTGGGACGGGCCCCACCTCCACGGGCTGCGGGGGTGGGGGTGCTCCGACACGTCTGGCGAGGAAAACCACAGACCTGTGGTTGTGTCGGCGGCGGGGAGAATGGGGCGAGGGGTCGGACACTCTGGAGGGACCTCTGGCAGTATGCCATGGAACTCTGCTGTGGCTTCCTGCCTGTGATCTGGGGCCTCGGTGAAGACTTTGAACTTATAGAGCCTGAAGGGCCCCACAGTCCCTGCTTCTGGGTAGAGGGGAAGGCACTGGGTGTGGGGGGAGAAACGTGGGACCGAAGGGCCGCCGAGCTCTGCTGCAGACGCAGGCGGGGCTGCATGCGTGTCTCCTGTCTGTTCCCCCGGCCCCTTCCCCCTCCCGCTCCGCCCCTGCTGACCGAGGGCAGTACTCTCCTTCTCAAGTGCCCCTGTTGGGCCTGGGCCCAGGAGGTGACAGAGCAGCAGGCGTGTGCCCACGTGCACTCCCGGGGCCTGGGTGTCCTCTCCCGCGTGTCCCTCAGTGTCCCTCCTGCCTGCATCCGGGAGGCTCCCCGTGTCCGTGCCCCCATGTGTCTCCTGCAGGCCCCACGTTTGTCCCACGCCTGCTTGTCCCACCCCTGGCCCCGAGTGTCCCTGCCTGCCTGTCCCTGCAGTCCCTGCCTCACCCCCTCCTGGCCAGCCCCTGCAGCGTGTCTGCTTCCCCAGCAGGGAAGCACAGAGAATGAGCTCGAGGACACAGCAGCCAGCGGTCAAGACGATGCTGATGCCAAGGCCCCAGACCGGTCCACCCTGGAGGCGCTGGGCCTGCCTCCGCCAGACTTCCACAGCCTCGTCCTGGACCTGAGCTCCCTCTCCTTCGTGGACACCGTGTGCCTCAAGAGCCTGAAGAATGTAAGAGGCTGGGGGCGGGGGGAGGGGGGCCACGGCTCTGCAGCCTCTGACCTGACCCCATCACTCGCTCTGAGAGCCCTCTGAGCCTTCGGACCCCCCAAACCTGCTAGACTTCCCCCCTAAACTCCCTTCCCCTGGCCTGCCTGGGTCTCCCCCTGCAGCCCCGGAGCCCCCCCCCATAAAGCGGGCCCCCTTTTCTGCTGCAGATATTCCGAGACTTCCGGGAGATCGAGGTGGAGGTGTACATGGCCGCCTGCCACAGTGCGTGGGACGGAGACCGTGAGAGCGGTTTGGGAGGGGCGTGGGGTTCTTCTGGCCCAGGAGTCCGCCGGGAAAGAGTCTTTCTCTGAAACGGGAGGTCTGAGGTCTCCTGGGAGGCAGGGGTCAAAGGTCAAGAGTGACTGGGAGTTCTTAGCTGTGGCCTCAGCGGGGAAGCCTTGGTGACACGGTCCGAGTGTTCTGCTGGCGGCTGGGGCTGGGGTTCCTGGTGGCTCTTGGAGTCAGGAGAGACCCGCCCCTCGCCGACAGCTCCTGTGGTCGCCCAGCTGGAGGCGGGGCACTTCTTCGACGCGTCCATCACGAAGCAGCACCTCTTTGCCTCTGTGCACGATGCTGTCGTCTTCGCCCTCCAGCACCCGAGGTCCAACCACGTCAGCCCTGTTTTGGTGAGCTGACCTCTGGCCCACTGACCTCTTTACCTACTGCGTGTCCTTACCCTGACCCCAGCTCCAGGAAGTCCCCACTCTGCCTGGGTGCCCCTGACCCCAGTGGACCCACTGCCTTCCCCTCGTGCCTTTAGGTGAAGCTGCTCCCGGGGCAGAGGTTGCTGTCGGGGGGGGGGGCTGGTATGTGCCCCTGGTACCTGACCGGAACCTCCCCTCGTCTGCCCGCTCAGGCCACCAAGCTCTGACCGTGCGGCCGCCCTGCCTGAGACTGCCTACCTCCGGAGCTCGTGACGGGGCACCTGTGGGAACCCCTGCGCTGCCTCCACTGGTCACCCAGGAGTCCCTCCGCACGCACATACACACACACGCACACACTCACACACAACTCAGGGATGGAGGCCTGGGCTGGGGCACTGGCCAGGGCAGGGGTGGGGGATCATGCGTGTTTTCTACTTCAGGAATAAAGACTCGTTTGCCTGACACCGGGTTCTGCTGTGGCTTGGTGGAAGTCGGGGGCTGGGGGGGGGGGCGGCCACAGCCCTGGCTCCTGGCCCTTCTTATGCTCCAAAGTGGGAACTTGAGCTACGAGTTGGGGGCAGGCGGCGGGGGCAGTGAGAATAATCAGTAGGCAGGAGAGCGGTGGGGCCGCCCAGGTTCAAGTTTCTCCCCAGCCACGCAGCCCTCAGCGCCTGGATCTCGGCTGTAAAGTACACACTTGGAATTGGCTGCTTCTCAGGAATGGTCTGGTCTCAGGGACACCAGACAGGGAGCTGGGCAGGGCAGGTGCCGCCAGAGTGGGTAGCGTGAACACCTGAGCAGCCAGCCAAGGAAGCGTAGGTGTTCGAAGGTGCTCGCAGGTGCTGCTGGGCCGCATTTAGCGGTAGAGCACACATGACTGCTTTACGTGGGAAGGTGCCTCTCTGTATTACCAGGTCACCTGGGCGTGGCAGGCCACTGCCAGCCTAGAAGCACGGGCCACCTCTGCTGGAGAACAGCATCTGGACGTGTGGCCCCGCGGGCAGCCACGGGCTTTCTGGCCAGGGATGCTCTGTGTGACTGGGAGGTGGGAGGTCCCAGAACCTCCCCCCGGGGCCTGGCGTGTCCTCACCAGTAGAACAGGAATGGAGACAGTCCCCACGTCCTGTGTTACTCAACGAGGAAACGCCACAGAGCACTTGGAACAGTGCTTGGGCGAGTGGACGGAGGTGGCGCCACCCTCCGAGTCCTTGAGTCACCTTGTCCGCTCTGTTTCCAGCTCAAGTGTGGTCAGTGCCAGCCCCAGACCTGCAGCCCAGGAAGTCATGGCTTTTGTCTGCTCTGTCACCCTGCGTCCTGGCACCAAGGACCGTGCCAGGCACCAGGAGCAGTGAGTGACACGTGGCAGTGCTTGGCAAATATTGGTCGAGTTGAAGCTTATGTGCTGGAGAGGAAGACAGACCTCCAACAAGAGATTTCAGCTTCTTAGAAATACTTTAGGGAAAAAAAAATGAACGGGGTCACTCGGGAGAAGAGAAGACTGTGCTGCCCGAGAGGATCATGGGAGGCAAGGTGGTGCTGGAGAACTCCAGCTGTGAGAAGCACCTTCCCAGGTGCGAAGGGCAGGGCCCCTGCTGTTGGGGACAGTGGGTGTGTTCAGGAATGTGGGCAGGCGGGAGGGGAGACCTCACAGGCCAGGGTGAGCCTCGGGCCTTATTCCCAGGGGGGGAGGGGCCCACACTGTGGAGCGCTCACTGTACTTCTGTGTAGACTGTCCCGGAAGGCTGGGCATAGGGGGTCAGTGAGCAGCTCCGCTGGAGAGCAGCATTGTGGGGGGTGGGGTTAGAATTTTAGGGGGTGGGTGTTAGGTGTGGGGGAGGGCTGGGGAAAGGAGGTGGCCCTTCAGTCCCGGGCCCTGAGCCTGCCATGCCACCCTCCCGGGCCTGGCACTGTACCCACCACCACACTCCAGCACATTTTTCTGGCCGGGCTGTCCTTGCTGAAAGGCCAGGGGCCCCGCTGGAACCCCCAGCCCCTGCCAGGCCTGCCTCGGGGGGAGGGGTGTTTTCCTGTTGCCAGGCGCCCGGGTTCCGAGGCTCTTACTGCAGCCATGCCCGGCGACGTACCGTGCTTCCTGCTGCTGCTGCTCCTGCTGGCGATGTCGGCGCCCTCCCAGGCCTGGTCTCGGCCCCTGTGGTACCAGGTGGGACTGGACTTGCAGCCCTGGGGGTGCCAGCCGAGCAGCCTAGAGGGTTGTGGGACCGGCCTGGGCTGCCCCAGCCACTGGATGGGCCTGGGGATGAACCCCATCTACCCCGTGGCGGGCTTCACGCTCACCACCACCATGATGCTGGTCATCAGCCGCAAGGTGCTCCAGAGGCGGCGCTCACAGGGCAGCAAGAGTGAGGTGAGCCCAGCTCTGCGCGGCCCCGCAGCCTCCTCCCTCCACACACATCCAGTGTGGGCTCCTATCCTGCAGTCAACCCAACCCCACGGCCCCCCCCATCCTCCTGCCCACGTCTGCGGGGCTCCTGCTGCCCCACCCCCACCACTCACACCCCACGGGCCGTACGTATGTCCACACCTGTCAGCCCCTGGTCGTACCCCATGGCCAGCACCCCACCTCCTCTGTCTCCCTGCGACGCCCGTTCCTCACCCAGCCCCCATGGGCCCACGCCACTCTAGCCCCCAGATCCTCCATCAGCCTGACCCCCCTTCCCCGCCCCTCCTCCGTAGCTCCATTACTGCCCGCAGCACCCTTCCGCCCCGGCCCGCTGCTCTCACTGCTGCCCCCTGGTCCTCTCCTCAGCACCTGCAGGTGACCCCGGACATCTCTGGACCCTGTAAACAGCGGACCCCGATCTCGGACCACGCCATTCTCCTCACCGTCCTGCACATGCTGGACGCCCTGCTGGCCCAGATCCAGGGCCACCTGCAGAATCTAGCTGCTCAGCAGCCGGCGCAAATAAAGGGGACTCCCACCTCGAGTGGGTGACTCAACACACGCCTCTCTCTGCCTGGTGGCCGACTGGGGTGGGGATGGCCCGGGGCGCCGGGCCAGCCTTGCACCTGTGTGTCTGTTCTCCCACGCCAGCCTGGCCCTGTATCCCCCGCTTTCTACCTGTAGAACCTGCACGCTGTTGAGGCCTCAGTGCCCCGGTGGGTGGGGCCCAGGCTGGCTCACACTGCTCCATTGCCCTCTACCAACTGACGACTTCACCCAGAAATAGAACACTGCTATTCTGGGGTTCCTCAGGAGGCCCCAGTGGGGTGGGAGGAGACTTGACCATCAGGTTAGACTGCAGGGAGGCATGTCCAGAGGTGAGACCCCGGGCTGGGGCTGGAGCATGGACGGCAAGCCCTGGCCGCCTTCCTCTCTGTGGTGTCTCAGACGTGCGCTGGCGCCCGAGTGGCGCTTGTTCAAGGCCCCAGGAGGTGGAGTGAGGGCTGGACCTCCCCAAAGGGGCCCTCACCCCCCCTCCCTTCCTCTGCCACGGGCAGTCCAGGCTGAGTGGGTACTGAACCTGGGCATTTTAGGGTCTCCAGAAAAACAACGTAACATTATGAATTCAAAAACAGAAACAAGTGAGTTGAAATAATAAGTCACAACAAATGACAAATGTTAAAAAGTTGGCAAACACTACAATGCAAAGTCCAGAACAATAACATATTTGTGGTGTCTTCTTGATATGTTTCTGTAATACTCCTCCCCACCCCCCACCCCACCCCCCATGTTTTCTGGCTGCTCACTCTGGTGGCCTCTATGTAGAACAAGGATTTTGTAATTTGGGGAAAAATATTTCCCCTGTGGAGAACAGAAAGATAATTCAGTCTTCCTTCTAACATGGCTGGTTGAGATTTGTGTTTTAATTACTGATCGTTTAGAAGATGTATTTCTCTCCTTACTTGCTGTTGATGGTGTCACATGAAGGGCCTGGGTGGTTTTCAGATCTGGGAAACTTTCATCAACTTTGACGAGAGATGCTGAATGGTTTGGAAGGATTTTCGACGGATGGGCTTCTGGCTCCACTCATTTCAAACCTTGTTTTCCCTCCACCGCCCACAGTTTTTCTAGCCCTGGGCACTTGGGGAGGGGGGGGGGCAGGTTCTACCATAAACGCAGCAGGACCTTGTACTTCTGTCTCCTGACCAGCAGGGGGTGCCTAGAGGCCATTCCTACACCGGGTCAGGAACACTGAACTAACCATACTCAGCAGGGGAGCAACCCACGTAAATATGTCGCAGTAAACCCAAATCACGTGTGCCCCCCTTCCGGGAGGGCCTGCGGCTGCCCGTCCCGGGGGAGGCGGCTGCCTCGGCTCAGAGAGCCCCCCACAGCCGGCGTCCTCCCGCCCCCGCCAAGGCCTGTCTGAAAGGACACCCCGGTAAACATCTCAGCGTGTGCTTCCCAGAAAACCCAGCCTGGGACAGTCCTCGATGCACCCTCCTCTTGGCTGGGCCCCCCAAATGTCACAGCTTCTCTAACGTCCCCACCATAAGGGGAAGTGGGATGGAGTTCTAACCGGGTGTAGTTCGAGTAACTGGATTTTGCAAGTTTTCCAAAAATACTTGACCCCGTGAACAGACTACTGGGAGGTGCTCTCGAGGCCAGGAAGTAAAGGGCATTGACGGCTGAGTTTCCTCAGCCTCTTGTTAGGGCCACTTCTGTATTCTACAAGGTTTAATGAGCACCTACTGTTTGCCAGGATGCACAGAACACCACTGGCTCCTCCCTCGCCCACTCACAAGTAGGGGAGGGTGGTGGTGATAGTGAAACAGACTCAGAAAGGCAATTACTTTGCAGAGGCATGCTGGCCCGGTTGGGTGGACTGATTGCGGACACCTGGGACGAATGGGGTGGCGAGAGAAGGGGGAGAATGCTGCAGTCAGAAGGACAAGCAGGTGCAAGGGTGCGGTGGGGGAAGAGACTTTGGCCTGTCCCAGGGACCGTAAAGTGGTCAGGACTTCAGGGGAAAGAGCGAGCTCCGGGAGCAGGAGGGAGCTGGCTGGGAAGGGGCAGGAGCTGGCGCCTCCTGGGGAGGGGTGGTGGGCAGAATAATGGCCCCTTAAGATAACCGTGGAGTCAGTGACTATGTTACAACACTGGGCAAAAAGACCTTTGCAAGTAAAATTAAGATGAGAGACCTTAACGTAGGGAGATTACTCTGGATTATTTTGGTGGGCCCAAGTAACCACATGAGGCCTTAAAATATTCCAAGTGTGAGAGGCGCATCGCCCTCTGCTGCTGGCTTTGAGGAAGTCCCGCAGCCCTCGGGGTCTGGGCATGGTCAACAGCCTGAATGAGCGAGGACACGCTCTTCCCTGGAGCCTCCCGGAAGGAACGCAGCCCTGCCGATGCCTTGACTTTAGCCCAGTGAGATCCGTGTTGGACTTTGAGCCTACTGAACTGTGAGATAACAAATCTGTGTTGTGTTAAGCCATTACGTCTGTGGTCATCTGTTAAGGCAGCAATAGAAGACATACAGATGTTAGTATCAAGGGCGAGATCTTGCTACAACAATTTTTTTTTCAATGTGGAGATAACTTTGGAACTGGGCGGGGAGCAAAGGCTGGAAGAATTTCAAGGAACATAACAGAAAAAGCCAAAATTGCCTTTGTGGTGGCTCAGCATGAGCCATCCCAAAATGTGCCCCAGAGGTGCGTGGGTTTGTCTGATTGAGCTAAAGGCAATGGGGGCCTTCTGGGCTCATGAGAAACTCTTGTCCACGCTCCCCACCTTAACTGTCTACAGGCTTTTGAATGAGGAGCCTTGCCCACAATAAGAGCTTATGAAAGGTAACTTCTTTTGACCTACCTATATGGCAGGGCAAGCTTCTGCTTAATTACTGAACATGGTCTCTCCCTTCTGAAGCCCCAACGTTCATTACCTCATCTCTAGTTCACAATATCTTTTCCAAAAAATATTTATAGAGAGAGGGGAAGAGAGGAAGAGGGAGAGAAACATGAATGTGTGGTTGCCTCTCATGCGCCTCCTCCAATTGGGGGCCTGGCCTGCAACCCAGGCATGTGGTCTGACTGGGAATCGAACCAGCGATGCTCTGGTTCACAGGCCAACACTCAATCCACTGAGCCACACCAGCCAGGGCCCTCGCTCACAATGTCTTACACACGCATTTTCCCTTTCTGGTTCTGAACCTTTCCGGCGTGAGGGGTCTCTGACTCTCTCATTATGTGGGGCTCCCCTGCAGCGGAAGTGGAACTTGATTTTCTCTTGCCATTTGGTCTCATTGATTTGACTGCTCAGCCAGCCAGAAGAACCAGAGGAGGGAAAGGAGAGCTTCCCCCTTTCTCACACCTTCAACTCTTAGCAGAAATCTGAACTTTAAGAATGCCGCCCGTCGTACCTGGAACTAAATATAAAATAATATGGAATGTCAACTGTAATGGAAGAGTAAAGTTTAAAAAAAACGCTGCGGGCTGCCAGTGACGGCTCCCAAGGAAATGGGGAACGTGTAACTAGAAACTGTGAGAAAAGGCACCGTCGTTTTGTTGCTTGTGGGTGTGTGTGCTGCTTTTCACACAAGGAAACGGTTTCACAGATTCGTCTCAACTGCCCCTTTTTTCCTTAGCAACATATCGTTAAACCCCTTCCACGTCAACGTCTGAATTTATTTTACTCCTTTTAAGGGAAAACCGTATCTTTCAGCAACTGCCCTTTAGTCCCAGGATTCCTCGCTGGTGCTTTAGCCTGCTCCGAGCACGCAGGGGATTAGGGGGGCCCGTGGGCCGTGAGAAACACCGCTGACTCTGCCTCCTATGGATGAGAGGGGCAGTCGGGCTGGACTGCAGACGGGACCTCGCAGGCCGACAGACTGCCCGTCGGACAGATGCGCGCAGGTCCCTGCGGACAGCGCGGACAGCGCGGACAGCACCACCGACCGGCCAGGAGTGAATATCCTGGAATTCCGCCAGGGGGCGGCCAGGCGCCAAGGCTGAAGTCTGCGCCTGCGCCTCGGACGCCGTCGCGTCCGTTTACGCATGCGTGACGCGACTCTGGCTTACTGAGCTAGAAGATGGCGGCTTCCGCAGTTTGCCGGGTGGCCGGTGCTGGGACGCGAGTGTTGCTGCGCACCCGCCGCTCGGTGAGGTGGCAGCGGGGGGCGCAGAGTTATGGGACGTGGGACTTCGGGACGCTGACCGGGAGTGGGCTGTTAGCCGTGGCGCGTCGAGATTGAGGAGGCCGCGGGGTCAGGGCCGTGGGAAGGTCACGTCCCTGAGTGGGGAGGGCAGTATCGCGGCTGGCCTGGGGGCGGGGACGGGGATACCCCTGCGGGCCTGGGAGCTGAGGAGTGATACCCCAACCCAGACCTCAGTCCCTATCTCCTGCTTAATAGCAGCCGGCCCTGCTGAAGTCGCCTGCCTTGCGGAGCACGGCCACCTTCGCCCAGGCCCTGCAGAGCGTGCCAGAAACGCAAATCAGCCAGCTGGACAACGGGCTACGAGTGGCCTCCGAGGAGTCCTCACAGCCTACCTGCACGGTGAGTGGGGCCCGCTGTCCGGAGGGGACCTCTTTATTGCCCGGGAGTCATCCCAGGTCAGGGTGTGACCTTGAATACGAGGTCTCTGTGGTTCCTGTCACTCCTGCTCATTCACCATTGGATTGACCCTTTGGCACCAGACCTGACTCCATCCCCGCTTTGACTTCTGGAGTGGGGGCAGTCCTCACCAGCCAACACATTTGAAGTCAACCAAGAAGGAGGCCAAGGTGTTATGTACCCACCCCCCCAACTTTTTCTTAAGCAGCCCATATGAGAGAAGCAATTCTGTCTCAGTTTTACAATGAGGAAAATTAGGTTCAGAGACATTGGGTGACTGCCAGCCTCACAGCCCAAAGTCACAGTCTACTTGCTAAACTAGGAATGCATTGCAGAGGAAGGTTCTAGTGAAATGGGTGACTTTTCCAAAAAAGAAAAAAATGCAAACCCTCAAAATTGACTCAAGGATAGAAATCTTGACTAGATACATGAATAGGAGAGAAGATTCTCAAGAAGTAATCCTCCCCCTTCTCCCCACCCCATACTCCAGGGCTCAGTGGTTCTGTGGCAAATCTCTTTTAAGTTTTTCGGGAACAAGTAATGTCCTGTGTGATGTTCTCACAATACAGCAAAGGGTGATGGGTAACTTCCTAATTATGTGGCACCTGTATCAGCCAGCCCAAAGCCTGTTGAGAAAGCTTGGCAGAGAGTGCTGCGTTTCCTGGACTGGAAGATGCTCCCGACGTAGGGAGCATCAGAGAAAGAGCGCTGTCAGTTATTCTCAAAGGGAACCATGGAGTATAAGATGCATCTTCCTTTCCGTGATGTTCAGTGTGGCGTAGATGTTCATGTAAGAGTTTGTGACCTATGGTTGTACATCAGTATCTCTTAGGAAAGTAAATGTGAAATTTTGAGTCAATTAGGAACAAGAAGTACATTAGAAGACTAAATCTATGGGACATATGGGGTGAGTGGTGGTGTTTGCTTCACAGCACACCAGGAGGCTATTAAGAAAATTAGAAGATTCTTGCTCTGGCTGGTGTGGCTCAGTGGATTGAGCGCCGGCCTGCACACCAAAGGGTCGCTGGTTTGATTTCCAGTCAGAGCACATGCCTGGGTTGTGGGCCAGGTCCCCAGTGGAGGGCGCACGAGAAGCAACCACACATTAGTGTTTCTCTTCCTCTCTTCCCCTCTCCCTTCCCCTC